TCCTGGGTAGTATGTTCTCCAGAAGACGTGCTGCCTCAGTTTATGATGTGCCCTGTCAGCCTTCAGTGATTTGCGGCAGCAGCAGTCAGTCAATCTGTGTGACACTGGGAATTGCTAGGCGAATCCAAGAGAACACGAAGTCAAAAGTTCCCAGGTGTCTGGAGAGATGGTTCATTGGTTAGAGCACCGGCCACTCTTTCAGAGAACCCAGGTTTGATTCCCAGCACCCACATGGCAGCTTACACCATCTGTAATTCCAGTTCTAGGGGATCCAATACCCTCTTACCCCAGGCCGCATGGATGCAGTCAGTTCACAGACACGCATAAAGGCAAAATATTCAGACACATTAAAAAGTAAAATAGAGCCGGGAGTTGGTGGCACACGCCTTCAATCCCAGCACTCGGGAGGCAGAGGCAGGCGGATCTCTGTAAATTCGAGACCAGCCTGGACTACCAAGCGAGTTCCAGGACAGCCTCCAAAGCCACAGAGAAACCCTGTCTCGAAAAACCAAAAAAAAAAAAAAAAAAAAAAAAAAAAAAAAAAAGAAAAGAAAAGTAAAATAGAGCCAGGCATTGGTGGCGCACTTAATCCCAGTACTCCGAAGGCAGAGGCAGATGGATCTCTGTGAGTTCGGGGCCAGCCTGGTCTACAGAGCAAGTTCCAGGACAGCCTCCAAAACAATACAGAGAAACCCTGTCTCGAAAAACCAAAAAAAAAAAAAAAAAAAAAAGGAAAATAGGAAGTGCTCCAACTCATTAGTAAACAGAGAAATGCAGATTGAAGCAGAAGGCACCCCCTCTGCTCTAACATGTTGGCCCATAGTGCATAGTGGGTAAACACTGTCCACCACTTTGTTGCACAAACTGATGAGAAGTAATAGCCAGGAGCACCTCAGAGAGGGCCCGATGAACTTTCACCCCCATCTCCTTTCTGCTGTCTCCAGTACCTCATCTACCCTTCCAAACCCTCAAGCCCCAAGTGCCCCTTAGCAACCTCAGTAAAGTCCCAAGCCTCGGCTCAGGCTGTCTCCACTACCTTTAGCCGCTCTGTCCCCAACCCTCCACCTGGGTAAACATGGGGTTCAGAACAAAGAAACCCAGGACCTCAGGCCTCAGGAGGAAGAGGTGTGGCTCTTAGCTGAGGCCATGGAGAAGACCCTCTGGGGTCTCCAGTTGTCCTCTCTGCACTGTTCCCCTCTGATGCTTTACCTTGAGAACTCCGGTGGTCTTGACTTCCTCGGACCCCAAGCTCCATGTCTGGACTCGGCAACGTGTTAAGACTACCCCTTTATGTCAGTCATGAAGCATCTTAGACTCTGGTGGCTCTTCAGTGGAGGACCCTCTCCTCTTGTAGCTCTGGAGGCTGTGAAGTCCAAAGTCAAGACACCAGCATGGCTGGTTTATAGTGGAGCTGCCTTCTTGCGGTTGTCATATGTGGCGGGAGAACACTTGATTGTCTTTCCTGTTTTGGGCCCCACCATTGAGAGCTCATACCTCATCACATCTTCACAGGCTCCACCCCCAAATATGGCCTGATTGGGGGTTAAGGTGTCAGTAGGAATCAGAGTCAGGGGGAATCTCAGCTCAGTCTACAGCACCTCTCTGCCCTGGAGATGGAGAGCTGAACCAGCTGTTGGACTGGGCCCGTTGGTTTCCGGTCTGCGGGACTAGCCCTCCACCACCTCTCAGAGCTAGTGTCTAAAGACAGTAGTCTGTCCACTGTGCAGTGCTGAGCTGCTTCTCATGGGAGGTCAGGACAGCTCAAGCAGTGCTCTCCTGCTGCATCTCTGCTGGCTTCACAATAGGGAAGGCCCTGGGATTCTGGGTGTGGGACTATGGAGAGAGCACTTGCCTAGCCTGCTGGAAGCACCGGGTTCCATCCAGCACTACATAAATCCAGCAAGGCGGCACAAGCCTGTAATCCCAGCTCTGGGAAGAGTGGGGGGCAGAAGGATCAGAAGTCCAATGTTATCCTCGGGTATATATATGGACTTTGAGGCCAGCCTGGGGTAAAAGAGACCTTGTCTCACAAACAAACAGGAAGGATGTCGTGTCAGGATGTCAGACTGCTTCTGAGTCACACTGAGGACAGAATGCAGGTGGAGACAGACAAGAGAGAAAGGAGGATGGAAAGAAGACGCTGAGATGCAGAGTAGACACTCCTCAAATAATTCATCCTGAAAGGGTGTCCCAGGGCAACCCAGATCTTTGCACTGGCCTGAAGCCTACTCTGCTATAATCTACTTATGGGGTAGGGAGAATTGGACAGTTTTTTTTGTTGTTGTTGTTGTTTTGTTTTTTTTTTTCAAGACAGGGTTTCTCTGTATTGTCTTGGAAGCTGTCCTGGAACTCGCTTTGTAGACCAGGCTGGCCTCGAACTCACAGAGATCCACCCGTCTCTGCCTCCCGAGTGCTGGAAATTGGACAGTTTTGAGCTACTCCAACCCTCCACAGACACACTCCATCTGTCATTTATTCATTCATCAAACCTTTTTTGCACCCTTGGAGGTCACATGTGTGCAGTGTCTGATGAGACCACTAGAGGGCATCATATCTCCTGGAAACTGCAGTTATGGATGGCTGGTAGCCATCATGTGGGTGCTGGAAATTGAACCTGGGCCCTGTGAAAGAACAAGTGCTCTTAACTGCCAAGCCATCTCTCCAACCCTATTCCACTTTTTAAAAGATTTCTTTCCCATTCTGATATTTTTTTAGATTTATGTTTGTGTACCTACTTGTCTATATGTGCTCCATGTCCATGCAGTGCCCTTGGGGAGCAGAAGAGGACACTGGATCCCTTGGAGGAGTTACAGACAGTTGTGAGCTGCCATGTTAGTGATGGGAACTGCCTTAGTTACTTTCCTATTGCTGCGATGAGACGCCATGACCAAGACAACTTCTGAGCTTACACTCTCAGGGACTTAAAGTACGTGATGGCTGAGCCAAAGCATGGTGTCAGGAACAGCTGAGAGCTCACATTCTGAGCAGCAAGTAGGAGGCAGAGAGGAAGGCACACTGGGAATGGTGCCAGTCTTTTGAAACCTCGAACCTGCCGCACATAACACACTTCCTCCAACAAGGTCTTTTATAGTCTTACTCTAGTCTCACTTTCTGTGTGTTTTTAAGTTAAGTTTTCAACTTAGAATATGAAGCAATCGATTTTGTTATCTTTTTTTACTCCTAAAAAGAACCTCAGTAAGTAGGCATTTCCAGCTTGGAACTTCCTATGCAGACCCCGCTAGCCCCAGCTTGCAGTAACTCTTCTGTCTTTGTCTCCTGAACAGTGGGTTACAGGAGTACGATGACATGCATGGTCTCTTGGTATGTTCTCTAGATTGTCATTTTTGCCTTTGATATGAAGTCTAGAGCTGAGTCAGCAAGATGGCTCAGCAGGCAAAGGTACTAGGGCCAACCTTGCATACCTGAGTTAGATCTCCTCTATCCCACAGAGTGTGCCAGCACTTGAGACACGGAGGCAGGTGGATCTCTATGAGTTCCAGAGCAGCCTGGTCTACATAGTAAGTTCCTAACAAAGCAAGGCTACAGTCTCCCCTGGTATTTGTTGATCTGAAAATACCAAATCCCCCACCCCTGTTATTTTTTGACATAGGATCTCATTAACTTAGACTGCTCTTGTACTCCCTATGTAGCTGAGGCTGGTCTTAAACTCCTTATCCGCCTGCCTTCACCTACCCAGTGCTCGGATTACCAGGATGCAACACCATGCTCAGTTTCTATGGTGTTGGGGTTAAATTAGAGCTTTGTGAACTTGAGGTAAGTGCTGAGCCCATCTCCAGCACACGCACACACACACACACACACACACACACACACACACGTTTTCCATAGGAATGTTTTCAAACTCCCTCCTACTATCCTCACCTGTGCAAATGAAGTCCTGAATTTTATGCTATATGTACATTCTTGTTTATACTCCATGCCATTGGATAAGTGCTTACTCACCTAGATGGGTTCAAAGGAGTCCCCAAATGTGTTCTCATGCTCAAGGGACCTAAAGGAGTTCCAGGGATATAGCTCAGCTGGTACTCACCTACCAGGACAAGGCATGGGGTTCAATTCCTAGCACCACTTTATGGGTATGGAGGAATACACTTAAGATCCCAGCATTCAGGAGGTAGAGGCAGGAGGAGCAGGAATTCAACATTAGCCTTGGCTCTTAGTTAGGAGACACCATGACCATAGCAACTCTTATAAAGGAAAAACATTTAATTGAGGTGGTTTACATTCTCAGAGGTTTAGTCCATTATCATCTTGGTATGACATTGTGGCATGTAGGTAGACATCGTGCTGGAGAAGGGGCTGAGAGTCCTACATCTTGATTCAAAGGCAACAGAAAGTGGTTTAAGACACTGGGCATATCTTGAGCATGGGAGACCTCAAAGCCACCCTACAGCGACACACTTCCTCCAAAAAGCCACAACTCCTAATGGTGCCACTCCCAATGGGCTTATGGGGGCCAATTACATTCAAACTGCCACAGCTACATAGAGAGTTTGAGCCAGCATGGGCAACATGAGAGCCCATGTAAAAAAGTAAAAGCAAAAAGGAAGCTTAAGGAATATTTAGTCCACTCTTTTTAGTATAAAGAACAGAATATTTATTTGGATTTTGAAGGAGTCCAAGGGCAATAGGGTGGTCAATGGGTGATGGGGGCACAGCTTTAGTCCCAGGCATCTTACCTGCAACGGGTTCCCCTAGGGACCCAGCCTGGTAGCACCCTGCCTCAGGGCAGTAGACCATTTGTCCCAGGATGGCTCTGCAGAAACTGTGAGCTCATGGGCATGGCCTGAGGACACAAGAGAGACCGGAACCCACAGATGCCAGCCCTCAGGGCCCAGGACTCATGTTGCCCCTAAGAGCAATGGTGTCCCAGGTCCTTTTTGCTGACTTAGGTACCCTCCCTTCTCTCTTCCCCATGGAGACTATGTGTTAATCTGTAGAGTGAGAGCCTGCCCACTGGTGCCAACACTGAGACTGCATGGAAGGAAAGAGCTCTTTATTGCCCAGGCAGGGCCTCCTGGTGTCTTCCAGCATGTCGTCTGTCTTCTGGGCTCAGGTACGGCAGTGGTTACAGTGGTCACTTTGGGGACCGGCTCAGATGCCATCAGGCAGTGTTGTCAGTCAGTTCTCCTGAACCCTGGAAAGCAAAGCCGGCAGGATGCTACAGGATTCTGCAGGCAGTCAAGTCCCACCCCACCCCCACCTCAAATGACCAAACAACACAGGGATGGTAGCAAGGGGCCCCTGCTGAAGGTTCTGTGGCCCCCTGTGGTCCTTAGTTACGGAGAGATTACCACCCCCACCCTCAGCGCAGAGATACACTATTCCTGCCTGGCTTCCAGACTTTGAGGCACAACACCACTAAATACAAAGGTGCTGGGCTGCTGGTCAAAGACAGTGGGCTGGAGTGTGGATCTGCAGCAGAGAAATTTCTTAGCATGTGTAAAGCCTTGGGTCCCATCCTAGCCACACCATGCAAACACACACACATCCTTCTCTGCTTGATGGCCTGCCCCACACTAAGAATTGTACCAGTTTTGCAGCTAAGAACCCTGAGGTTCAAAGAGACTATGGACAGCTGGATTGCAGCTTGTCAAGCATGCTGCAGGGCCTGGACTCCACTGCCAACGCAGAAAAAGGTTGTCTGGGGTCACAGAACAGAGGCAGAACTTGAACCTGAGCCTCTCGCCTCCAGGACTTTCCCTAGATGGCAGGCAGGGGAGAGTTTGGATGGGGAAATGTGTAGCACCATTACCTGGCAGCCTGAACTTCTGCAGGAGGGGAATGAAGCCCTGAAGCACTCTGTGGATCCGGTACACTGCACAGAAGCAAGGGGAAGTGTCGGTCAGGAGGCTGGCCCCTCAAGAGCCCCAGGGTCAGACTCACTCCCTGTCTCCCCAGGACCGAGGTACACCCCACGCAAACAAAGCCCAACATGCAATTTTAGGCTAACGTCAAGAACAGTGCTGTGGTTATTACACGGAAAAGAGTCACAGGCAGTAATAACAGGGACAGGAAACCCAGCGACCTTGATGCCTGGCTCCACTAGCTTGTTTTCAGTATCTGAGGGGCTATGCGTGTTTGCTGCTTTAAACTGTTTTTGTGGGACTGCCCCCTTTTTCCACAAGGTCCTGCCAAGGACCTTTCACTGACCTCACATGCAGTCAGGAAGAAAACACAAACATAAGGGATTTATTTTTTTACAAAAAGTTTAGATCGTGACTCCTGGGGAGTGTGGTGGCCAACTACCACTCCATCCTCCAGAAGCCTTCCGGTCTGTGGAGCTTTTCAACAGGACCACTTACCCAGCCCAAAGTAGATGCCGATGGTCTCCAGAGAGGCAAAGGTGAGCAGGCCAACCCCGAGGGACATGAACCAGTCTTCAAGGGTAGCAAGGAAAGAACGGTCAGCATTTGCGTTGTAGGTCAACTCCCTGTCCTCCCATGCAGTCCCTTTCCAGGTCCCTCACCTGAGTAGTAGTGATAACACACCAGCAAGGCCCCAATGGCGAAGCAGAGGAGGACGAAATGGAAAAACTCATCTGCAAGAAAGGGTGTCAGCTGAGCACTCTCTGTCTCTCTGTCTCTCTCTGTCTCTCTCTCTCTCTCTTTCTCTCTCCCCTTCCCTCCCTCCCTCCTTCCACCTCCCCTTCCTCCCTCCCTCCACCTCCCCTCCCTCCCCCCCCCTCAACTAAGGCCATTGCCACAACCCTCTTATTTTCATTTTTTGCTTTTTCTTCTGAGGCAAGGCCTCTATGGAGCCCAGGGTTACCTTCAATTTAGGATTCTTCTGCTTCTGCCTTCAGAATAAGGGTTCCAGGTGTGTGTCACAATACCATGCCTGTTCTCTTGTTTTAATTTGTGTTTGTTTGTTTTACTCTGTAACCCTGGATGACTTGAAACTCCCTGTGTAGACCAAACTGGCCTTGATATCACAGAGGTCCTCTGCCTTCAGAGTACTGGGATTAAAGGTATGTGCCAAGATGCCTAGTTCCTTATCCATTTATTTGAAATAGTGTTTCACTATGTCACTCTGGCTGGCCTTGAGCTCACAGAAATCCACCCACCTCTGTCAGCCTAGTGCTGAGATTAAAGGTGTGTACCACCATGCCCAACTGTTCTATTTTTTATTGTATTTGTGTGTAGGTGAGTGCATGCCCCTACATGAATGTGGATCAAGTATCCCTTGATCAAGTATCCAAGGGGTATCAGATCCCTTGGAGCTGGAGATACAGGCATTAGTGAGGGACCTGATATGGGTTCTGGGATCCAAACTCTAGTCCTCTGACAAAGGGGAAATGCACTTAACTGCCGAGCCACTGATCCAGCCTCTTCTTATTTTTAAATGACAGTGCTCCAGCTCCTGACCAGCCAGTGTTAAAGAGCACCCCAGGAGCCCCCTTTCAATCCTATCTTGCTTCATGATTTTTGGAACATGTACAGTCACGCAGCTTGGGTTTTATTTCTGGGTTTTTTGTTTTGTTTTGTTTTGTTTTTATGAGACAGGGTTTCTCTGTATTGTTTTGGAGGCTGTCGGTCCAGCCTGGCCTCGAACTCACAAAGATCCGCCTGCCTCTGCCTCCCGAGTGCTGGGATTAAAGGCGTGCGCCACCACCGCCCGGCTTATTTCTGGGTTTATCGGTTCCCTCCTCCCTGGGCTCTAGGTCTTTGAGAAGGAAGATCTCAGTCAACCTCCTGCCTGAGGAAACTCAGCAGCTAGAGTAGCTACACTGGGTGCTCATAATTAATCTGTTGAGTGAGCATTAAAAACAAAACAAAAACCACAAATGTGAAACGTGCAAAGGCACCGAGTGCAAAGTTCTGAGGCTAACAGGCATGAGAGAGGCTGCACCTCGGGTATGAGGCACATCGGGTAGGTATGTCACCAGGGCCAATGGCAGTCTTCCTGCTTCCTCATAGAAGGGGAATACAAAAGAGAGTTTAGGGGAAGTCAGGAGTGGTGGTGCATGCCTGTGACCCCAGTACTGAGGAGGCTGAGGCAAAAGCACCCCAAGTTGGAAGTCAGTCTGGGTTACGCAGGAAGGATGATCAAGACAAGACAGAACAAAACACTGCCTCCCAAACACTAACCAAAACAAAAGCCAACCTAGAACAGAGTGAGCAAACCCTGCTGTCTAGGGAAGGGTCTTTCTCAGGGGCGATGAGTAAAGTCAAGGCTGAATCAAAGGCTCGGGTTTCCAGAGACAGAGGGGGTTGCCATCTTCCTTCGGAACGTAACAAGTTCTGCATATCTTGAAGCAAGTACGAGGTCTGTACTTTGAGACCCTGGGTTTCAGCTCAATGAGCCTTTTTATGCCCAGCCCCACCTCCAGCCAAACGCTGTGCTCTGGTTGCCAGGGACCAAGACTAAAAAAGGGCTTAATCCCAGGTATCTCCTTCACTAAAAAGTGGGAGTCTATGGGGACCTTTTGAAGTAACTCAAGATTTTTCTAGAACAGCTACCATTTGTTTAATCAGAAAACATGGTGAGGGTCTGGAGAGATAGCTCAGCAGTGAGTATTGCTGCTGCAGAAATCCAAGTTTGACTCACCGCCCATCTCTACCAGTGTGCAGCCAACCACCTGTAACGCCAGCCCCAGGGGCTCTGACGCCCTCTTCTGGCCTCCTTGGGCACATGCACTCATGTAAACATTTTTTTTTTAATCTTATAAACAAACAAAAAAACCAAAGTCTCCCTTTTCTACCTTCACGGTCTACCAGGAAGTCCTCATGGATTCCAGGCCTGGAACTCTCATCACTTCCTCAGTGGAACCTCACGGACCCAAAGCCTGACTATGTCCCATCCCAGAGCATGAAACACTTATCCCCTTGTGTTTGCATGCATAGCAAAGAAAGCACATGATTGGGTGTCAAGCCCAGGCCTTTCCCTCCAGTGCTGCTGTAAGGCCCCCACCAACTGTAGGCCTCCATTTCTACATGAAAAGACGGGCATCACTGCTTGTACCCCGTCCCCACGCCCCCAGTGATTAGAGCTGAGGACTTTGGTAGCTGTAGGGTACCTCACAGAGGTGACTGGGATTATTATGGCTCTGGCTGGCGGCCATCATGCATGCACAGAAATCTGGACCAGCCAGGTGAGCATGGCTCCTGAGCCCCGACTCACTTACCATCCTTCTTTATGTTCAGCCGTCTTAACTGAGAGGCCTCCGCTTCTCCTTCAGAATTAAAGAGAGAGAGAGATGTGTCTTGTAGATTACTGCTCTGGCCTTAGAGACTTGGGTGATCTCAGCAGGAGCACCCCTGAAGGTAGGGGTGGCTGTCACAGGACCCTCGCTGACTTCCTCACCCATCTATAGACCCTGTCCTTCCCTCCATTTCCCTCTAATGGAGACTTCTGAGTCATGCGGGTGTTGACGTTCCTACTAAAACTGGCCCACCCTCTCAGGCCATTTGTGCTCCTCTCTGGCCCCTCTGGAATCCACACAGCCTCCTGCTGTCCTCGGAGCTTATATATTTACCCTCTGTTGAGCCGGAACCTCTTCTTCGGAGTCCTAGAAATAAGAAACTCAGTGTTAGTGCCAGGCTGGCCCAGGCTCCTTGCCAAGGGCTTTCACGCCCCCCCCCAACCTCCCTACACCCATGACTGGTCACCCAGAGGTGACTAAGAAAAGGCTCTTGGTAATTCTCCAGCCATGGGATCCAAGGGACCTTTCCTAGCTGGCTGATGTCTGCTTCCTCCTGCCTGGACTCCCATCCATTGTCCCACAACTTCTCTCCTGCCAATTGCGTGCAGCCAGGTCCCTAAGTGGCCCTGGAGTTCCCATGTCTCACAGCCATGACCCTGAGAGTGCTCATGAGGACAGTGCCCAGACCTCACTCAACTCCAGTGTCCTTGACTCCCTCCCCTTCCTGGGTGCTCACCTGACTCCCCAGCAAGCACCATCTCCCCAGCACTACCTGCATGGAAGGAGAATCAGTAAGCACACACGATGGTACCCTCCCGAGAAGGTTACTGCGGAGGAAAGTAGGGCCTGCTTGGAGTCTTACACTGATGGTGTAGGCTGGGTGGGAACCGGAGCAGGCTGAGAGGTTCCTGCTCCATCTGATTAGCCGTCAACCCCACCTGAAGTCATGCAGGCTAGTATTTTTTATTTAAAACAAAATAAAATAGGGACTAGAGAGATGGCAGCATGGTTAAGAGTACTAGAAGCTGGGTTGGAGAGATGGCTCAGCCGTTAAAGGCTAGGCTCACAACCAAAAATATAAGAGTACTAGATGCTCACAACCTCCTGTAGGTCCAACTTCAGGGGACTCTGATACCTTCTTCTGGCCTCTTTTGGCACTGCAGTCATATTCATAAACCGCACTCAGGCGTGTGTGTGTGTGTGTGTGTGTGTGTGTGTGTGTGTGTGTGTGTGTGATACAGGAGAAATAGATTCTCTTTCAGAGAACATGGGTTTGGTCCCCACCCTCATGGCAGCTCAAATCTGTTGGTAACTCTAAGAGATTCAACTCCTTCTTCTAGCCTTCATGGGCATACACATGGTACACGGACATATATGTAAGCAAAACACTCATAAAATAAACAAGTGAAATAAAAATAAAAAGTAAACAAATCTTTAAAACACAGTAAAAATCAAAATCTTTAAAAATCAAAATAACAGCAAAGAAACCATTCTTGAACTCAGTCTCTAGTGCTAAAATAAATGAATAAATACATTCAAATAAGCAAATAAGACAATATAAAGATCCCCCACAATGCCAGCACTCAAAGGCAGCTGCGTGTTATATTCCAGTATGTGCTGTGTGAACCGTCTCACTCTGAGTGTACCTGACCCGTGTTTCTTGCTGTTTCTCTGGGTCATTACTAGGGATTGGGGGACTAGGTAGATATTGGGGGGCCTGACTCTCTCTAGGTAGTGTGCATCTGACAGGTTCTTTGTGAACTAAGTCAATCTGTAGACTTCCTACTTCACTGTAGTGCTACCGACCAAAGCACCTCGTTATTTCTCTACATCTCCTCACCATCATACAGGGCTCTTGGAAACAGTTCTTAAAGGGGGATGGGGAGGTCTGAGCCCTTCTTAAACAGTGCGGGGTTCCAAGAGAGTGAAGTGGATCGCACCGATTTTCCTGATGGCAAAACCATAGCCCAGATCAGTTGGGTGACCAGTTAACTGTGCTAAAAGCAGGGGCTGGAGTGAGCAGAGAAGACTGATTGTCCTCGAACCATTGTAATTACGGTAGAGGGCACTGCGGTCCCACATGGATTGCCGTGGCCTCACTACCTCATCTGTCTGCCTGGGAGTCTTCCAATCAGATCATGAGACTCCATCCTTGTTCTGCCCTCTGGGCCCTCAGCCCTCTTCAAAGCCGGGGGACCAGCAGTTACCTCCATAGAGCTGAAGCTCGTCTTTCAGCACCTCCAGTTCCCCGCGGTCAGCACCTGGGTGGAGACAAACCTTGGTCAACTCTCCCCAGTGTCCTGGGCCACCTCCACATCCCTACATCTGGTCTCCAAAAGGTAACAGAGTCACAGGTACTCACCCTCAGTGCCCCTAGAGGCTACTATGTTCTGTTACTGATATGAAACCACAGACCTGGCTGGGCTGGAGGCTCAGGCAAGGGTAGTTACTGCAGTAGCAGAGATGGCTCAGAGCTTAAGAGCACTGGCTGCTCTTGCAAAGGGCCTGGGTTCAGTTCCCAGCACCCACATGGCAGCTCAAAATTGCCTGCAATTCTAGTTTCAGGAGAGCTGAACCCTCTTCTGGCCTCTGTGGGCATAGGCATGTACATGGTACAAATACAAATAGGCAGGCAAAACACTCACACATAAATCAATTAACCTTTAAATCTTTATATAATAAGAATACTAAGCTCTAAGGTGTGCCAATGTTGTACTAAGTTATTTATATTGAACGTTTCCTTTGGTTCTTATTGAAAGAGCGTGGAGAAGACACCAGTGCACGCCTATCTATTCTGCAGACAAGGCAGTTGAGGTACAAAGGTTCAATTACAGCTTAGGGAACAACTTAGTGGGATAGAACTGTCCTAGCATGTGTGAGACACTGATCTGATCTCAGCACAGGGATGTGGGGTGATGGAGAGAAAAACAAAAGGTAAATTGATGCCACCAAACACACATAGTAAGGAGTGACTCTACAGGCATCTCATAAAACCTGAATTCCTGGTTTGTGTGTGTGTGTTTTTAATTTGCTGTTGTTTTATTTACTTATCATCATCATTATTGGTGTTGGAGATTGAATACAGGGCTTCTATATGCTAAGCACAGACTTCACATTGAGCTCTATGCTCAGACCCCCAGCTAGTTGTAGCTCTAGAAATAGAACCTAGGCTCAACTCCAGCATCGTAAGTAGCATTTATCAAACACTCTGTGTATACCAGGCTCTGTAATAGACTTTCATTCATTAATTCTCATTCTTTCCTTGATGCTCTTTTCACAAAGTTTATTTATTTTGGCAGAAGTGGTTTCCTAGGACTGGAAAGATGGCTCAGGTTAAGAGCACTGGCTGTTCTTGCAGAGGACCCAGGTTTGACTCCCAGCCCCCAGCCACCAGTTGGTTCCAGAACAACCTGTGGCTCAAGTCCAGGGGATCAGACACCCTCTTCTGGCTTCCCCAGGCGCTGTGCACGCATATGGTACACACAATCCTGCAGGCAAAGCACTCACACACATGAGCGACACATTTTTCAAAAGGGGGATGCTGAGGCTGTAGCTCAATGTAGCTCAGTGGAAGAACACTTGCAAGAACCCTGGGTACTACCCCGGATTGCAAAAACAAATACACGATAAATATGCCTCACAACTTCACTATCATAATTACTATTCATATCTTTATGTTTTCCTGTTTTGTAAACTATCCTTTTTAATATTTATTTACTTGCATGGGGCGTGGATCTCATGTCACACAGCCCATGTGTAGGTCAGAGACAACTTTTTGGAAGTCAGTTCCCTTCTGTGTGGGTCCCAGGCATGCAGCTCAGGTCATCAAGCCATTTCAGCCTCCTTCTTCCTGTTTTGTGTAAGATTTTTTTTTTTTTACAAATACATTTGAGGTCAAGTGAATTCTGTGACTTGCCACCCATCAAGCCAGAGCTACAAAAGTGCTCATCAAAAACAAACAAAGCTGGGTGTGATGGCACATGCTTTCCCCAGCACTCGGGAGGCAATGAGTTTGAGGTCAGCCTGGTCTACAGAGGGAGTTCTAGGACAGCCAAGGCCACACAGTGAAATCCTGCCTCAAACCATACAAAAAGACAACCATGACTATCACCAAGACAGAGCCCAGTAGGGTGTTAGGTAGGCTATTTCCCCTTCATACATTATAAACAGCATGTTGTGAGGAACCTCCTCACGTAGCCCCACTAGCAAAGGAAAGGTGAGCCGCCTACCAGGAGAGCTGTCCCTGCGGGCCTTCCTTCGGTGTTCCCCGAGACCTCTGGAGTGCTGGTCCTCATCGCTGCTGTCTGTGAGGAGCAAACACAAGTTGTAGAGCCTCAGGCTGGAAGGCGCCAGGCCACTGTCACTCTGATAGACAGTCTCAATGATCCCACTTTGTGGAGAAAGGAACTTTGCCCTGCTGAGGGTTAGGACATTGGCCCCTAGCTTTCTGTGTCACTCTCCTCTTTGTATTTTCTTCCTGGCCCCTACTTTTGCGGCTGCCCAAGGAGACTTTCCTGAAGAAGCAACCAAGTTCCATGACGTGCCATCTTATGGAGAGTCCACCAAACACAATGCTGTATTGTCTCTATCCTCGCGATGTCCCAGGACTCTGGGTGTCTGCGGGGTGTGTCTGCTGGCCTGGAACTCTTTCCCACTTGTCTCCCGGATTGTGAAGCTAAGCTGATGTCACATGTCCTATAGGAACCCTATTCATGTTGTTCAGACACTCATTGGCCTTATCCTTCCCACCTGGGGTTTCCATGGCACTGTCTTATGTCTGAGTCAGTCACCATGAGGGCTACACAATGTCTGTTTCTCCAACCACCTGAGCTCCTGAAGGCCACAGCCTGTGTCTCCCATTGCCTCAGGCTGCCTAGCCTGGAGCAGGAGGCTGAAAGGATATAAATTGTGGCTGAGTTGTATATATCTTAGACTAGTCAGTCAGGAGTTCCTGGCTACAGGGCTTTCTCCCAGGACTACCAAGATGGCCCCAGATGAGTTCCCTCAGTGTGCTTAGGGACTTTCTGATCAATCATGGATCCATTAAAACTCCAGGAAGGCAGTCAGCTGTGCTTCCAAGTACTTTCCCCTGACACAGTTACAAGAGCTGGCCAGTAATACGGCTGTCCCTTGGTATCCATGGGCGAAGGTTCTAAGGCTTCATACACACACACACACACACACACATACACACACACACACACACACACACACACACACACACACACACACACACACACCAAAAGCCACAGACACACCAGTCCCTTACACAGGACTTTGTAGCATTTGCATGGAAACTGTATGTGTCCTCTCGTGTTATTTTTCTTAATTTAAAAGTATGTATTTATGTAAGCGCATGCCACAGCACATGTGTGGAAGCTCAGGGTACAACTTTAAAGGGTTGTTTTTCTCCTTTTAACATGTGGATCACATGGGTCATAGGGATTGAACTCAGGTGGTTAGCTTGGCAGCAAGCACCTTCACCCAATGGACCATCTTTTTTCGTTTGTTTGTTTGTTTTTCGAGACAGGGTTTCTCTGTGGCTTTGGAGGCCATCCTGGACTAGCTTTTGTAGACCAGGCTGGTCTCAAACTCACAGAGATCTGCCTGCCTCTGCCTCCCAAGTGCTGGGATTAAAGGCGTGTGCTGCTAACGCCCGGCTAATGGACCATCTTGCAGACCCCTCTTTATTATTTAAACCACCTTTAGATTACTTGTAATATTTACTACAGGGTAAATGCTATATAATTCATACTTGGTGCTGTTCAGTAATATGACAATAAAACAGCCATCTGTGTTTAATATAGACACAGTTTATTTGCCTGTTTTTTGCCTCTTGGTTGGCTGAATTCAAGCATGCAGAATCCACGGATATGGAAGACTAGCTGCAAATCAAAATAACAGATATGTGTTTATCTTTTTTTTTAAGTTTTATTTATTTATTATGTATAAAGTGTTATACCTGCATGTATGTCTGCACACCAGAAGAGGGCACCAGATCTCATTACAGATGGTTGTGAGCCACCATGTGGTTGCTGGGAATTGAACTCTTGACCTTTGGAAGAGCAGCCAGTGCTCTTAAATTCTGAGCCATCTCTCCAGTCCCCATATATTTATCTTAATGAATAAAACATTAAATGACATTACTCCCACCCCCTTTACTTTTCAGACAGGGTCTCATGTAGTCCTTGATGGTCTGGAACTCACTATGTAGAGCAGAATGGCCTCAGATTTGTGGCAACCTTCCTGCCTTTGTCTTCTGAGTTCTGGGATCACAGGCATGTGACACCATGCCCAACTATTTCCTTCTTCTCTATATTTTACAAATATATATATCAGTGAGAAGCCAGGCGGTAGTGGCACATGCCTTTAATCGCAGCAGTCAGGAGGCAGAGGCAGGCAGATCTCTGTGAGTTCAAAGCTACACAAAGAAACCCTGTCTTGAATATATATATATATATGTGTGTGTGTGTGTGTGTGTGTGTGTGTATATATATATATATTAGTGAGAAAGAAAAAAGTATCTTCATTGCAAAATATCAAACAATATGGAAAATATAAATGAAATAAAACTCCAGATTCTATCAGCCAGGGACAATGTCCATCAACAGATGATTACAGTTACTTTAGCTTTGCTTATGATTTATTCATAGCATAAATTTGGGCTTTAAAGGGTGTGCTTATTTTCTGTTTGCTTGGGCAGTTTCTCTGTGTAGCCCAGGCTAGTCTGGGACGGACCGCCCATCTTTCTGCCTCTACCTCCCAAGTGCTGGAATTACAATTAGCTATCACCATCCTTGACTTTATTTAGTGGTTGGTTATTCATTCATGAAGTCCAGGCTAGCTAAAGATGACGATGCACTTCTGATGCTCCTGCCTCCACTTGCTGGATGGTAGGATTATAGATGCATGTCAGCACACTAGGTTTCTGCTGTGCTGGGGATGGAACCCAGAGCTTTGTGCTAAACAAGCACCCAACCATGCAGAGCTTTGTTTGCCCTCAACCCAGGCCTAGGAATTGAAAGATCAGCGCTGAAGCTCCAATTGAGCAGGCAGAGAATCCACTCCCATAAACTCCCCAGTTCTAGAAAGACCTTCAAGGATTTTCAAGTTTGTTACTTAAAGTGGGTCATATAGCCTCCCCGTGCTTCACCTGTAAAATGAGACTTCCAATAGTATTGTATCTTCCTTGATGGGGTCCTGGGACAATTGAGTTCTTAGGTGTAAAGTACTTGAAAGAGTACCTGACAGTAAGCACTCCAAGTTGATAGCTCCAATGTTGTTACAAATTCAGCCTGTATGTTTTTTAAGTGTGTTTCTATTACTGTCTCTGTGTGTGTGTGTGTGTGTGTGTGTGTGTGTGTGTGTGTGTGTGTGTGTGTGTGTTGCTGGGGATGGAACCCAGAGCTCTGTAAATATGAGGTAATTACTGTACCATCAAGCCACACCCCATTTCTAAGAATGTTTGCTATACCTGAGGAGGAGGAGGAGGAGGAGGAGGAGGAAGAGGAGGAAGATGAGGAGGAGGAAGACTTGTCTCTCTCACATCGTTCCCGGGCCTTCTCATCTTGCTTGTGGAACTCTGTCTCTTGGTCTGGAGGCACACAGGCAAGGCGATGAGCTCTTACTGAACCCTGCCCCATCCCTGGCAACAGTACAGCCTCTCTATGGAGCACTCATCGAGCCAACGTGGGAACTACTCTCCTGAATATCCAAAGTCGATGGAAGGTGTCCAAGATCAAGGTTCTCAGAGACCCCTGGGTAGGGGTTTCAAAGACAGCCCAAGGGAAACATTCCTCTACATACAGATCCTGGAAAATAGGCTTCTGAGCTCCCATTTCCCCTTGTCCCCACTACCCTACCTGGAGAACTCCAGACTCAATACTGGTTCAGGGTTCCCTAAGTCACACAGAGGGCAGCTGGTGGTCAAGTCCCAAACCTTCTCTTTCTTCAAGGGCAGATGCATGAAATCCCTCCCACCTTCTAGAGATGATCCCCCAGTTCCAAAACAAGCTACCCAGAAACTTCTCAAAAATCTGGGGAGCAATTGAGGACCTGCTTAGCTAGGAAGTATGGGGAACAGGCTGGAACGGGCATGTGACTGGAAAATCACTCTTTGCCACATCTTTGATGTGGCCATCATGCCACATGACTCCAGCAGGGGTCTTTGATGGTCCCACCCATGCTGCACCCGTGTCCCCAGAGGCTGTGCTCAGAGGGTCTGAGAAGGCAAACTCACAGTCTGGATTTTCTGTTTCTCTGTGGGTTCCACTGGTGTCTTGAGACTGGGAAGAAGATCCTGAGGTCTCCATCACTTTCCCTAGAGGAAGGCCAGGAAGTTGTTAACTTCACTTCAGTTAATATCCTTCATATGTAAAGAGCTTGGCAAATGAATAAGGAAAGGGAGCAAAGCACACAACATTTGAAGTTATAAGGAACTTTTTCTATATAGGCAGGATTTGTCCATGTAGCTCTGACTGGCCTGGAACTTGCTATGGAAACTAAGCTGGCCTTAAACTCACAGAGATCTGCTTACTTCTGCCTCCTGAGTGCAAGGACTAAAGGAGTGCCCACCATTCACAGAACCATTTTTATTTTTAAAACATAATTGTTTGGGGGCTGGAGAGATGGCTCAGAGGTTAAAAGCAGTGAGTGCTCTATCAGAGGCCCTGAGTTCAATTCTCAGAAACCACATGATGGCTCACAACCATCTATAATGAGATCCAGTGCCCTCTTCTGGCCTGCAGGCAGAACATTGTATACATAATAAATAAATAATTAAAAAAATTTAGCGTGTTGCCTTCAAGAGCACAGCACTTATGGAGGCCAGAGGACAACTTACAGAATCAGCTCTCTCCCTCCATCATTTGGATCACAAGGACTACATTCTGGTCATCAGGCTTGGCAGCAAGTGTCTTTACCCACTAAGTCATCTCACCAGCTCCACTTCAGAAAAAAAAATGGGCCAGGGATACACAGAGATATGTTTTCTCAAGTAAGCAAAACAAACAAAGAAATATGCATTAGGGAAACTTGAGTATTGATCATCTTTTGATGATACTAGTCTTTTAGAGGCTGGAGAGACGGCTCAGTGTCTGAATCACTTGCCTCATAAACCTGCTGGCCTGAGCTCAGATCCCTAGAGTCCACAGAAAAGTCATTTGAATCTGTAATCCTAGCATTCCCCTATGCCAGGAGGTGGAGGAGACAGGAGAATTGCTGGATTGCAGACTAGCTATCCCAGTGTACAGCAGAGACACCCTGACTGAAACGAGACAGAAGGCCAGGATGAACAGTCCAGGCTGTCTTGTGGCCTAGCATCCTACATGTGTGCCTGTGAACAGACATGGGCCCTCTCTGAGCTGGGCACAGTGGTAAATGCCCGTAGTTCCCACTTTCGGAGAGGCTAAGGGCAGGAGCATTGTCTGACGTTAGGTGTTCGGTGTCAGACTATGAAACAATAAGACTCTCAAAATCAGGAATAGCAACAAAACAACCTTTAAAGTGTGATATTTATGTTAGTATTAGGTTTTTGTTTTATTTTGTTTCCTAAAGACAGGGTCTCACTGTGTAGCCCTGGCCAGTCCAGAAATTGCTATGTAGAACAGGTTGGCCTGCAACTCACAGAGATCTGCCTGTCTTTGTCTCCTGAATGCTGGATTCAAAGTGTGTGTCACCTACCCAGAAGTTTTTTGATGTTGTTTGTTTTTAACATTTATCGCTTATGCCAGTGTATGTGGGTTCGTGTGAGCAGAGGTCAGAGAGCAGCTTTCAGGAATGAATTCACTTTTCCACCGTGTGGATCCTGGGCATTGAGCTCAGGTCTTCAGGCTTGGCATCAGGTGTTTAACCCTCAGACCTTGTTTGTTTATTTGTTCATTTGTTATGTAGTCCAGGCGAACCTCAACCTAACGGCAAGTCTCCTGCTTTAGCCTTTTGGCCTTATTACATCTCTATTTTTTTTACATTTATTTATGTAAAGACAGAAAAACAACAGGAGTTGGGGAGATGGGTCATCAGTCATGACCCATTCAGCACTTGCTGCAGCTGGGCACGGTGGTACCCAGCAGCCAAGAGACAGAGCCTGGGAGATCTTTGAGTTTGAGACTGGCCTGATTTACATAGGGAGTTCTAGGCCAGCCAGAGTTATATAGGAAGACCCTGTCTCAAACAAACAAAGTAACAACAACAAAAAGAGCCTTTGTTGCTCTTGCAAAGAACCTGGGTTCCATTCTCAGCATCTAACATGGTGGCTCACAATGGTCCAGAACGCCAGTTCCATGGGATACCTACTCCCTCTTCTGGCCGTGGGGGGGCACTGCAGACACATGATGTACAGACATACAGGAGGCAAAATGCCCATACACATATAATAAATAAATTAAAAACAAAAACACGTGCCACCCTTGTATCCGTATTATATCAATCATGTTACAAAGGACATATGTTGGGCTGGAGAGATGGCTCAGAGGTTAAGAGCACTGACTGCTCATCCAGAGGTCCTGAGTTCAATTCCCAGCAACCACATGGTGGCTCCCAGCCATCTGTCATGAGATCTGGTGCCCTCTTCTGACCTGCAGGCATACATGCAGACAGAACACTCTATACATAATAAGTGAATAAAATCTTTCAAAAAAAAAAAAAAACAACAAAGGACATATGTCCATGATTCCCTCTGCACTGCTGACAAACCAGTCAGGTAGGTTGGGATCAGCTCTCACCTGTGAATTTTCAGACAATAAGAGATTTTTTAAAAAGATGGTCTCATTTGACCCTTACAATAATCCTGCAAGGTCAGAAGATGCAGATGGAAACATCTCAGAGGCAGGGCCTGAGGTGACTTTTAGTATCTTCGCTCCATCCTCCCCTTTACACTTTCCAACTACAAGAAAGGATACACAGTTTTAAAACTTTCACAGCCAGCAACTAGGGGCACGAGTTCACCAAGAGGCATGCAGGAGCACACAGAGCTTGCCAAGAGGAGCCTGTCAGGGCTCAGGTTCAGAAGCCATGGCCTGGGCAGGATTGTAGCTCCGTGGCAGAGTGGGCAAGGCCCTGGTTCCTTGCCAGCACCACAGAAACCAAACCATATAACATGTGATTGACTTGTGGAGCTGAGAAAAAGAGAAGTGAAGAGAGAAAAAGGAGGAGAGAACACAGCATGTCTTGTTACTTGCAGTGCTGAGCTATGCTCTGTTCTGATTTGTTGTGTTGGGGATCAAACTCAGGACATGCCAAGCAGGCTCTCTGCTGCTGAGTGACACCCCAGGCCCTTCCTGTCCCATCGTATCTGTTTGCTTGGTTTGGCTTAGTTTTTTTTAAAGATTTATTTATTTATTATGAATATAACATCCTGCCTCCATGTATGTCTGCACGCCAGAAGAAGGCACCAGATCTCATTACGGATGGTTGTGAGCCACCATGTGGTTGCTGGGAATTGAACTCAGGACCTCTGGAAGAGCAGTTGGTGCTCTTAACCTCTGAGCCATCTCTCCAGCCCTTGGCTTAGTTTTTAAGACAGGGTCTTACTATATAGCCCTGGCTGGCCCAGAACTCTTTATGTAGACCAGACTGGCCAAGAACTCACAGAGCCCTACCTGCCTGGGCTTAAGTGCTGGGACTAAGGGTGCGTGCCAACGCACCCGGTCTGTTTTGTTGCTGTTGCTGCTGTTGTTTTTTCAGTTAGGGTCTTCCTAGAAGTTATGACAATTCCCCTGCCTCTCATTCCTGAGTGCGAGCATCACAAGCTGCATCATGCCCACAGCTTCTTAACTCTTATTTAACCCACATAAGCCTTAGTTTGTACAGGAGGAAACTGAGGCTCAGGTAAATGGCCTGTCCAAGGTCCAAGTTCATAGACTCAGGCCCACCCCCACCCTGGTAACTTCCACTCACCAGATATCCCTACTTAGAGGTTCCCAGCTCCTGAGGTGACCCACCTCTGCGGCTGACCCTAAAGGACATGACATGCCTCATTCTTGGGCACTTCTTTCCAAAATGCCCAGTGCTTCTTCATTTTTCTTTGTTTTCAGAGACAGTGTCTTGTTGGGTTACCCCAGGTTGGGTTACCTCAGTGTCTTGCAGGGTTACCCCAGGTTGGATTATCCCAGTGTCTTGCTGGGTTACCCCAGGCTGGTCTAACCCCTGAACTAAAGCCATCCTCCTCTCTGAACAGTTGGGAATGCATATGCACACACTATAGTCAACTTTCCTGGAGAATTTGAAGCAGTTGAGCTATCCTCAGGGGCAGATGGAACCATGACAGAGGAAGGACGGTGCCAGGGCCCCTGGAACTAGAGTTGCAGGAGATTGTGAGTGAGCCACCATGAGGGTGCTGGGAACCAAACCCTGGTCCTCTGCAAGAGCAGCCGGTGCTGTTAGCATCTGAGACATCTCTCTGCCCGGGCCCTTCCCTTTTCAATGTTCTCGTCCCACCTCGATGCCTCAGGCCCACTGATGGGTGCTAAAGACCTCAGCAAGCCTTCCCAGCCTGGCCACTTGCTCCTTCCGCGCCACTCCATACCACCCAGGAGGGAGTACCAAAGGATTCTGTTTCACAAAGGAATTCCAAGGCCAGGAAATAAAGAAACGTGTATGAGGCCACTTCTGTGGTCTGAATGTGTGGCCAAGGTTCATTGAGAAACTTCATCTCCAAGCAAGAGTGTTGGAGAGAACTCTAACAGAGGTCCCTAGGATCTACCCTAGCCATTACACTAATTTGTAAAAGCAACTTTGTCAGGCGTGGTGTTGCACACCTTTAGTTCCAACACTCAGGAGACAGAAACAGGTAGATATATGTGAGTTTGAAGCCAGCCTACTCCACATAGTGAGTTCCAGGACAGCCAGAGATACATAGTGAGACCCTGTCTCAAAAAAGAAAAAAGAAGGAGGATGAGAGGGAGGGAGGGAAGGAGGGAGGGAGGGAGGGAGGGAAGGAGGGAGGGAGGGAAAGAAAAAATGAAAAAGCAGGACAGGGGCTGTGGCTCGGTTGGTAGAACATTCACTTGGCCTGCCCAAGACTCTGGTTCACCTCCAGAATCATATAAAATGGTTATGATGACACAAGCCTGTAATCCTAGCCTTTGACAGATGGAGGCAGGAGATTCCAGAATTTAAGGTCTTCTTTGGATACACAGAGAGCTGAAGGCCATCCTGAGCAACATGAGAATCTGTCCCAAGCAAACAACAATAGCAATGAAACCAAAACGAAGCAAGCCTGGCCCTGGTTTGTTTCATCCCTGTTAGGAGGCACAGAGGTCTTTGTGCTAACAGATAAGCACACAGATACCCCGGAGAGTGCCACCCTGTCCTTGTGGGGTTTTACCCACAAGACTTCACTACATAGGTGTGACTGGTGATCTTCAGTTGCTCCTCCAATCTCTGGATGGGCGTCCCAACTCTCCAATCTTACCTTGTCTTTCTGGGACCAGAGCTCATCTGGACCTCCCTCAACCTCTACTATTCACTAGAATGCAAAGGCACAAGGGCCTTAGATATATCAGGGATTTTATGAAGTACAGGACAGGAATGGAGGAAAAACAAATAGACTTTATAATACCATACCACCTAGGACTTGGTTCAGTCCCTTAAGCCTTTTTTATGACTGCTGTAAGAAATGTCCACATTTGCAGTGGCTCAAAACAAAACACATTTAGTAGTTGACACAACATTAGAGGTCAACATGAACTTTTCTTTTATTTCAGTGCTGGGGATTGAACCAGGGCCTTAGCATGCTAGGCCAGCATCTACTGAGCTTGCACCCTCAAATCCTATTTTTCTCTTTATTTATTTATATCTTTATGTACAGAGGAAGGAGGGGGAGGAAGAGGCAGATGGAAGATGGATATTCCTGGGCTAAAACCTAGATGTAGACATTCCTCTCTGGAGGCTCTCCTGAAGACTTTTTTCTTTTCTTTTCTTTTCTTTTCTTTTCTTTTCATTTACTGAGACTAGATCTTATCCAGGTCAGAGTGGCCTTGAACTTGCTATGTAACCAGGGCTCACCTTTGAGCTCCTGGTCCTCCTGCCTCAATATCCCAAGTACTAATATTACAAGCATGAACCACCATGCCCACCTTGACCACCATGCACAGATTCTTTTTGTTTTGTCTTTTTTATATCATCCAGACTAATGTCCCCCACCCCCGTCTCAAGCCTCACTCCTGCTCCAGGGTCCCCAAAGCATCCTTTTGCCTTCAAGATGTACAGTGTCAGCTCAAGTCCTCCTACAGCCTTGCTCTGCCATCCACCTGCTGCCCCTGTTGTCTGCCCATCTTTAAGAACCCTCGTGGGCACACCAAGCCCAGACTGGAGTGCAGTGGCTATTTTCAGGTGTGATCTCATTACTGATTAGCATTGGGGTTTGACCTGCTTTATTTCCGGCCTGGGCTGGCTCCCCACTCTTTGGCAACCTGGTGGTCCCTGCTCCTAGGAGGTCACCATATAGATGTCAAACAGTGCAAACATCCAACTGGCATAGCACACTATAGCCTAGAACTCCTGGATTCAGCTTCCTGCGTAGCAGGGACATAGAAATACACCACCACACCTGGCCCAGGTGCAGTTTTAAATTCCTGTGGTCATCAACCTAATTTACAGATTCTGGCATTTGAATGCAAACACTATGGAGGACCTACTTGAACTGGTTTTTTATTTGTTTGTTTTAAAAATATTTATTTTAAACTGTGTTGATGTGGGTGTTTACACTTGAGCACAGTTCCCATGGAGACCAGAGGTATCACATCCCCTAGAACTGGCTGTTGGGAGGCACGGGAATTCAGGTCCTCTACAAGAACTGCACATGGGCCTTACCTACTGAGCCATTTCTTCAGCCCCAAGAATCTACTCATCTGTAACTCAGTGTCCAGCACAGAGGCAGCCCAGCAACCACTGAGCTTCCTTTTTCCAAAACCAGCTACCGTGTGTGCATGTGTGCGTGTGTGCGTGTGTGTGTGTGTGTGCATACGTGCGTATGCACCTGTGTGTATGTGTCTGTGCATGCACGAACAAGTGTGTATTGTGCAAGTGTGTATGTGTGAGTATATGTGCACGTGTGTGCATGTTTGTGCATGCATGGTGTGTACAGATGTGCTCACCTGTGCATGCATGTGTAGATGCAGAGGTTGACATCAGATCTGCCTGTATTGCTCTATTTTTATTTATTTATTTTTTGAGACAGGGTTTTCACTGACCCTGGCACTCCCCAGTTTGACCACATTGGTTAGCCATCAAGTCCCCAGGGTCTGTTGGTTTCCTCTCTCACAGCACTAGCAAGCACATGCTAACGTGCCTAGCTTTTTCTGTGAGTTCTGGGGATCTGGACTCAGATATTCATGCTTGTATAGCAAGCTTTTCCTCACTGAGCCACCTCCCCGACCAACAGTTTTCCTCTCTGAGCTCATCATGCTCCTGGAACCCCAAGTTCCAGGCCTTGAAAGCCAAAAGTGTTCCTTCCTCACTAGCAAGCCAAAGCCTGAGAAGGCCCCAGAAGGTCTGGTCCACTGCACCTTTCCATGAGGTCCTGGAAGGGGATCAAAGTTCAAAACCATTCATTGCTGAGTTCTTGCTCTTGTCTCTGCTGCCAGACTGTGCTTAGACTCAGTTTCCCCACCAGTACAATGGAGTGTGAATCTTAATTGCTCAGAACACCATGGGAATTAAATTATAAAGCCTAAAATAAGCTGGGCAAGATGGCATGTGCCTTTAATCCCGGTACTCAGGAGGCAGAGGCAAGTGGAACTCTGTGTATTTGAGACAGTCTGGTCTATAGAGTGGAGAAACTCTGTCTTCAAATAAAAACAAAACCCTAAAATATTGCACATAAAACATAAGTCCCCTCCTGTTTAGATACACAGTGTCTTCTTCTTCTTCTTCTTCTTCTTC